GAAGGCTGCGAGGCCCGGCGTTGGGATCCCTGCCTCGCAGGGGTGCGCCGAGCGTCCTGCCCGCCTCGGTCTCACGGGCGCTAGAAGTCGCTGTCCCCGCAGCGAGCCTGGGAGCCCCGCGCAGAACTGCGGGCTGCGGCAGCTGAAATAACGCGTGTGCGGGTGCCGCGCGTGGGGCTTGCTGACTGACGGGCGGGTGCCCCGGCCCCTTCAGGAGCGAGTCCCCCTGCGCCATCGGTCAGCGTGCCATGTTCCCCTCCTCCGCGCTGTGAGGTGAGCAGGTAACTACGTACATCACTCTGCACACGCTGAGCGTTTGATCTTTGCTTATCAAATAATTCGAAAGCTGGGTCGAGCTTTCGTCACGGGTAATCACCTATGAAGTGCATCCGAGAAGTAGGGGAGAAGGTGCAACTCAATCCCTTTATCTGTTGTTTCCGTTCAAAAGTCTCCGTCATAAGAAGAGTACCACCAACTTCATTTTCAGATCATTTTTAACCTAAACCATTTTCAAGCATTCTGTATTACAAAACAGAAAATGATACAATTAATGGAAGAAGTCAAAATGCTGGCATCACTTTGTTTCCACATTAATACATAAAAATGGACAACACATTAAATAAACATTTTGTTATTAACAATTAGAAATATTAACACCAAAAATCATGTATAAATTAGGAAATAAATGTACAAACTATTTCCAAAGTGCTCTTTCAAATACATTATATACACAACATTCAAGAAGTTCTTAATGTAAGACATTTCAGATTGATGTAATGTTGCTGTTTCATTTTAAGTGTTGTTCATAGTCTCTCAAAAGTATTTCAGCACTTTCAAAAACCACATAAAAGGCATATTTCCAAGCTGGCAAAGAGCAATACTGCATTCTTCTGGCTAGCTGTAATATTAACATATTGTAAAGAAAGCCATCTTACTTCCTTTCTGTTCCTTGCTATTTGAGAGTACTTATTTGTATGAAAACACCATCAGGAAAGATAAGAGAAATGAGGACTGACTAAAAAAGTCTTCTATTCTATCAGCAATTAAAATTATTAATGTAGCAAGAGCAGTGCTTGGACAACATTTAATAGTAAGCTCTTTAGCTGTCCAGTTAAAGACTCCTCTACAGGGGAAAAAAAAACCAACAATTAATTGAGAGGTCTTTTATTTCCCTTGTGGTCTTGTTTTTTCAAAATATAAAGTACTAGAACTTGAACTCCTATAAATACACTGGCTCAGACAAAGAAAAAGAGAAAATCCTACAGAGGGTGTATTTAGTCTACATTGTAAATTTGCAATTAATCTCGTATTAAAAAATGCTCATGGATGATAATGATCCTAGCCTTTTGCCTTAGAGAAGTATGGACATGGTATTTTGTTCAGCACTTACATAAGCACTTAGTAAGTGCATTTTTTCAAGACTTTATAAGAACATATAAAACGGAATAGAAGTGACTTACATTGTTCATACTGGCTTTCGCATACCACTAGTTTTTATTTCTAAATTCTCCCTCTATAGGTATTCTCTCACTGGTTGACCCCATTAATAGTTTCCCTCTCTATATGCATAATAGTGCTTCACAATTAAAGCTGAATTTAGTTGCTTATCTGCAATAAAGATTGATTTTTTCTTTTACTTATGAACTACTTCTGTCAAGCTACAAGAGAAAAATAAAAGCAATGATAAGCCGTAAGAACAGATGATCAAAAGATTTGACAATGTTTATGGTTATAATGCTTGCTGGTAAATCTGAGCAAGGGCAGTGGAAGAATCAGAAATAAAGAAGGATGCCAGCCACCTGCTTGCATAATTTGGCATGAAAATGGATATGCGAATTATAAAATTCGGAGTAGCATACTTAAGAGTGGAGTTTTGCCAGATGTTTTTCTCAGCTAAGCACAATATGAAGGAATATTGACGTCTAGTAGGTAGACACTGCAGATGTCAGAGCTCCCTTCTATTTTTCTTTCCATGATAGAAATACCTTCATTTACATGGATATATAAAAGGTGTCTCTAGTGATTAACATTTCCTTGAATATAGGTTTTGATCCTCGTTCTGTACCTTTTACAACAGAAACATGGACTTACGCAGATTATTGAATTATAAAGACTTGGGTAGTTAGCCCTGGTAGGTATTGCAGAAATTGCAGTTAATTTTAGTTTTAACATATAGCGTAGAACTGTCTTCACGTAAGGAATGTATCCATCCCCTTATTCTTAAGAAGTAAAGTTAAGAGCCATGGATTTCAGAGGCTGGCAGGTAACCTTCAATGCATTCAGTTAGAAAAAGGTCAATAACCTACCACAGGGTAGCTCCCTGGACTGAGATATGACTGCATGGCTTTCTGTTGAGCCAGACTGCAGAATAACCTGGCTGTTTTCCAGAACGGGGCACAACTGTGATCAAATGATCCTAAAGCTATTTAGAAACATCAAGAATGAGGCGAGGGGGGGGATAAATGAAAAACTTCTGCATTGTATCAACATACAGTACTATACACAGCACCAAATATCAAACCATTAAAGCATTGTCTTGTTACCAGTAGTGCACTGCTTCATATCCAGCATGAAATGAACACTGTTCACATACAGACGCTGCTTTGTGCTAAGGGGTAACCAACATATTACAATTAATCAAAACTATCTGTACATCCAGTTCAAAAGATGGATATACTATTGAAATGAATCTGACACAGGATCATATTCTTTTATTGCTGGTAATTTCCATATTGTCCCTATAAAAAAGAGAAATAAAAATGTTGGAGAACAATATATCAGAGGTTTACAAACAGTGAGTTAGACTATTACTTTTGGCCTATGAATTTTGAAGGACCCACGGAAGTATCACCAATATGCCTGCACCAATTATCAGATAGAATTATATGTGGAGCTAACAGCTAAATCTGCTTTTTCATAGCAGAGATTTAGACAATTTACCTGCTCATAGCCGTAAGGCCTCTGTTGCTGAGCGGATGGCCCTGTCTGAGAAGCTCTGTAACTTCCATATTGCTGCCCCTGTCCCTGTTGGTAGCTGGAATACTGTGAAGAGGCTCCTTGTGCAGGACCTGAGAAGACAGTGAAATCTATAAGTAAGGCTTAATTTGCTAGGAGGAGTTCTTACGGCTAACATAATGTAAAGCATGACGGTAACAAAGTAAGCTCTGGAGTAGGAACTGTGAGGAAATTTTGCCTAGACATCCCCTCTAGCTTTACACTAGAAATGGTTAATACTAGTAACGATCTAGTAGCAGCAGTGTAAGCTTCAGCGCTCAGAAAACTTGATACACTTTTAAGTGATGCGCCTCTCTGAAACTTGTATTGGCACAGCTCAATTGTTACCTAAATGCAAGCTACCTGACCTCTATTTTAGTAACAATTGCATGTTTAATTTCCTATCTAATCTGGCTTTACCACCATAAGCACTGCTGACCAGGCAGAACCTAAGAAATCTCTTGCATATAGAGGTAATTTTAAGAAAAATGTAAATCAGACACACAACTGCATGGGGATATTGATTTCCTTTTGCTTGGGACTGTATATTCTGTGTATAGAGGGCTATGTGCAGTTTTTAGCATTATTGGTGAATTTTTATGAATCATAAACTGAATTTTGGGTTTAATTTCACAGAATATGTCCGGTTTGAGTAGTCCAAACTATCTACTAGTACTGCAGAGTGAGGTGTTAATAATTTAATTAACTTTTTAGGCATGTAGGTTCTATTTCATGAGATCTTACATTTCTAAAATGGGTTCGCTGTTTATAGCAACATCAATTTGTCAAGTTTGGTTAGCACTGCCAATTCAAGGTCAAGTACCATCACATTTGGGAGATGCACCAGAAACTCCTTGCCTTGAAGCTAGGATTTAGATTATTCCAATCTCTCTAGCCCCTGTTTTTGTACTAAATAACCTGAGATAGTTTCCTTCTCCCAAAGGCTGAGGATAAATACAAGCTGTCTCCATCAAACTTGGATTCTTCTGATGACAGCAGGGAGTTCTGCCACTGGTGGCCTGTAGGGTTGGAAAGCCCTCTGCCAGTGTTAGCGGCATCTTCGAAGCACTGCCACTTTTCTCCTTTCATCTCAGTCACAAGGAATAAAACCCCTATGCTTTGCAAGAAATCCAAGTGAGGGACTAGTGATTCTCTGGACTGTTGACGTTATTTTTTCATGTCAGTTGCAGAACTATTAGATGTGTAGGAGGCCCAAGAATCCAGCAGTGACCTCCTGCTGACACTTACCAGGAAGGCAAACGTGTATTTTCTAACTTTCTTTCAAAAGAGAGAGGGATTCAGAATGCTAACTTAACAGTATGGAATGCAGTGCTATATTAAGATATGTTACTGGCGACAATCCCTTTACATGCTGTGCTCTTTGGCTAGTATTGGTATGTGGATGGCCAAGGTTAATCAAGGAAATAATTTAGAGCATATTTTAGCTTAGGAATGGAGGCGTCAGGATGAAGTATTTAAGCATTTGACTGGTCAGTGACGGTTTTCTTACCGTATCCTTGCTGTTGTCCTGGGTAACTTTGTTGATTTGGGTATTGCTGCTGGGAGTATGTTTGCTGTTGTGCAGCTCCCTGTTGGTATCCTGCCTGCTGCTGGCTGTACTGAGAATTTCCTAAAGAGGGAAAAATTGAAGTAGTTTGGTTATAGAGGAGGCAGGTATTTCACTGTGCATGCGAATCATAAGGAAAACAAAAGTGTAAGGAGCCTTGGTCTGGAACTCATAGACAAGTACTCTTTTCAGAAACAGATGATTGCATTTTGCTAATCAGGATGTTTATTTCTTCAGTGATTTTTAGTTCTTTTGAACAGGAGTTGTTTATTTATACACATCACTAAACAAACAAACAGACCAGTGACCTGTTCCTCAAAGGATTTTTTTTACCCTAGAAGTGTTTCAGAAGAAAAACACGGAGCCACAAATATAAGGGTGCCAGGGTAAATAGTTGGTTTCTCACGAAGCCCCCCCACTGTATTTTCTTCTAGATAATGATGTTTATTAATATATCCCAGAAATACCATTATCTAGTTGTTACTGGTATTTTTTGAAATAACCTAGGATGGAAATTCCATTTGCAATATCCTGAAACAACAAAATGAACAGAGACTATACAGACAACATTGCTTTTCCTAAATGCCACCTCGCTGCATTTAGAGTTCAGATATCATAATAGTATCACTGAATTTACTGACGTACTACTGTTGAGAGTTTTTTAGTAGTAGAATTGTAAACTCCTAGTATTGATGATTTTCAAAGATTAGATTTCATTTAACACATTGTTTTCACAATGTGTAAGGTGAATTAAGTAAGATTTTAAAAAGCTGGTCCTGGAATTAATCAGTAGGCTTTCTTACTTTAGAGAATTTTCCATTTATGGCTGACAATTTTTTATGGCTCTCAACCCCATTTCTAACTGCAGCATGTTAGTTTACCTTTGTCAGCATAACCTTTTACTTTAATACAGACATTTTTATTTGCATTATATAAAATGTTCGTTAAACAGTTTTGTAAGAGTGGAGGATACTGATATGCTGGAAGTCTTTTCTCTTACTGCAAAAAAAGTTCAATATCCATAGCTATAATTCCACCTGACTCAGCTACAACCGAGGATCGTTTTCCTAATGAGTATGAGGCTATGCACAAGTTGTTAGTGATCCCACAAGGCTGCACAGCTTTCCTGCCTCACAATACCGCTACTAACATGATACTGTGTATACAGTCTGATATAGTCTTGGTATAAAAAATGCTATACATAGCTAAATTTTGTCATGGACACTCCTGAACTAATGCCTAAGTAGCAGTTAGTGATGCAGAAATTGCAAGTCATATTTTACATTTTCATAAGCATTTCATTAGTATTTTAGGGGATTAGAGCTTTGGTTTAGAAAGATTGCCAATACATTTTCCTACCTCCTTCATAATAGTGTTGCGTAGAGTCGTCAAATGACCTGTCATAGCTCTGCTCAGTATAGGATGACTGCTGATAGGCATAATCACCATGTCCTACAAGGAATCGCAAAGATTTATCAGGTACATTGTTAATACACCTAGAGATATATTGCTGAGTACATGTATTATGAAGCTGCTTCTGCACAGAGAGGAGGCTAAGAGGAAATACAGACCCCTTAGATAGTAGGTTGAATGCATGGCAAGGAAAGTCACACCTATGGATAAATCTTTTGCATTTACTAATCCAAACTTGGCTTTGTGCTCTTTTTGAAGCAGCTTGGATAGCAGGATGCATTGATGCATCTGTTTGTGTACCAGGCTCCCATGCCCTGGGATTAGAATTTTCTAGCATTTAAATTGGAAATGAATCGTAATGGGTTTGCCATATCCTTGGATGTGGCAGTCATGCTGGTCTACACTTTACCAGTGACTACAGCTCAGAGGCATTACCATCTGGATAGTACTGCTGATTCATAGGTTCTGATGAGCCTTGTCCATGACTGTACTGTTCGCTGTAATATTCTTCCTGACCCATGTATTGCTGCGAGGAACCTGCAAGGCAAAGACAAAAGAGAGCAAACTGAGCCTGTGGACTCTTAAGGGATGGATTTTCGTTATTTCATTTTTTTTAAGAAAACAGTGTTTACATCTGGATAAGTAAACAATCTATGTATGTTAAGAGCAGTTTCAAAGATGTTTTGCTCACTAGAAAAAGGAAATAAATCTGTATTCTCAGAAAAAAACTGTTGGAAATTGAAATTACGCAACGGTCAGCAACTTGTCTTAAACCCACTCTCTTCTGTGGCAATACCGAAAGTAATGGTTACATTTCATCTACTAATCTGAGTTATTAGAAAGCACAGGAATGTATTCCATGCTCAAGAACACAGTCAGAATTAAATATATTTTAATTAATCTATTAAATTGTTTCTTAGCAAAATTCAGTTTATGTTAGAACCAGTCTAGCAGCTTTATTACCTCTTAGAACTTTTTCCAGAGAGGTCTTAAAGCATGGTAGTTATCCTCTGGTGTTTTCCTTTCCTTGGCCTAATTTTTCGTACTAATTGCTGGCAAACTATTATCTTCTTTGCAGAAATGTGTTCCTTGTTAACTGTGCCATGTTACAGCTGATCCAATACCATTTGAAAGAATTGAAAAGATTCCCAGTGACTTGAGTGAGCTGTATATCAAATTGTTCATCTTTTCTTTAGAGATATATGATCCCTTTTAGACAGAATTATTTTTCTAAACACCTGAAATAATTAAATAGATAAATATTGAAAATAGATTAAAGTTGATCTGATTGTCATGATACTTCCACCATTTGAGATTTCCACTGTTCCCTGATGGGATCTCCTGTTCATAAACGTGACTTAGAAATTTTGTTGACTTACCTACCCCACAGGATGGACTGAGTATCGTCAATCTAATAACAATTATATCAGTAATCTAATAATAGATTTTACCTTGCTGTGAAGCTCTGTAAGGGCCCATTGGTCGCTGACCCATCATGCTGTTGCCTTGGTTGCTCTGACTCATCATGGCAATGGAGGACTGCCCCTGGTAATGCTGGCTCCCTCCTTGCGCCGAGTTGTAATGTGACGTTGCTGCTTGTTGGTGCATCATGGAGACTACAATGTACATGGAAAATACTGTTTTCTAAAAGGACGTGACATTTCTCTCCCTAGTCTTTGGAAACAAGTTAAAACCTTCAACTAACATGCATCCTGATAATTCTGTGAATTTTCCACAGGGGGAGATGTTTTCCTACTACATGCATTTAACTCTTCTGCACTCTTCTGTAATCCAGAAAGGATGTTATTACATGGTCAGTTCTTGCCATTTGCTTCAGTCAGACATTTAAAAATACATCTAGCCTTGATTATTGTTAGTTTATTTAAAGAATGTAATCATTATTACAGTAGGATTAAAGAAAGAAATAAGAACTGATATTGGTTCGTCTCTACTCCTGACTAATTCACTGCTGCATTTCTTTTATAATCAACTCTTTCTTCTACCTCCATCTTATTATATAGCTGATGATCATACAGTTTAAATAAACTGATATTCTAGCATTTATTTGATCTCTAAATTTCATACTGTTGGCAAGAATTCTTAAGCATTGGACATCCCATTCAATACTCAGTAGCAAACATTTTTACAAATTAATTCTGAGTCATCTGCTAGTCTCTCTATGCCCTGCAAGCAGTGTGAAGTATCAATAAAATAACAAAAATGGGCTAGTAATGTACAAACAGTAAATGTGTAATGCTCTTTGGCAGGCTGTTTCATCTAGGATAAAGGTGCTTCTCACATCCCTCCCACGGTTGTGGGATTTGCTGCCAGGGCCTATCAGATGGTGCTGCTGCACTTTTGGCTAACCCTCTTTTCCCCAACTCATTAACCACAGCAAGTCGGGGTAAGTTAAAGCAAGTCTGAAACTGTTCTTACACTGGTGCCTGACACCTCGAAATTCAGAGATGTCTTAAAGCTGTCTTTTCCTCTTGTATGTTTGTCGCTGTCTACAGACAATATTTACAGAACAAATTAATGTGTGGTAAACCTCTGAGGTCACTGAAAAGTCAAGCTGGCCCAGAAGGAGGAAGAGGGAGTTTACCTGGATTAGACTGCATGTTGATGTTTGTTCGAGAGACATAATTGCCTATTGACCCCTGGCCTTGCATTGGCACATTCTGAGATGCAGGCACTGTATGGCTATAACCAGGCCCAGTTCCATGACTGCTGACAGTCATACTCAGAGAGGTCGTGGGCATAGTGTTCTGGCCTGACTGCTGCATAGACACGTGATTAGGACCTAGAAAAATTAAAGAGAGCAACAAGAAAATCTGTGCTATTATTGGCAAAGTACAGTGAGCAGTAAAGCCCTCGCGGCCTTTCTAAAATACCTTATGATAAGGCAAAACAAAACAAAACAAAAATCCTCATTATTAAAATTCCCTGGTATCTACAGACAAACGAAGACTGCCTGCTGCACAGTTAGAGTGACCCTCCTCTTCCTGGCAGCCAAATCCAGGCTGTACAGAATTGCAGGCAGGAAGAACAAAACCAGCACCAATGCCCTACAAGCAGTTCCTCACAGGCAGCAGAATTAACAAATGCCAGTAATTTCAGATACTTCAGAAAATATATGGACTCTAGAAACATCCCAGCCTTCTGAAATTGGTCCTTTCCTTCCTCCTGTCCTGCTGTTGACTCCTCTTCCCTCTTCCCACAGACGGTGACAGCGGGAAGGCACAGTAGAGGCTCAGAAACACTTTGGACGTCGCTGCATCCATTCGGTTCCTCAACCAACTAACCTTCCTGGCTGGGGCTTATGAAGTACCAAGGGACCCTCTCCTCAGAGGACAAGTCTGTCTCTCCCTTTCCTGAAGTTTGACAAAGTACCTCAGACTTTCAGAAGATAAATTTTACAAGTCACCATAATAATCCTTGCTGTTACAGTACTCCCTTTTCAACATCACATGTAATCATCAGACTGCTCCAATTATATCCCGGGTTTGTATCATCCTGCTTACCTGGCAGTATGCTTGTATTTTAAAATTCTACTGCTGTTGGGTAACTAAAATTGGGGAGAATCTGGTTCTTATTTTTTGTTGTTTGTTGCTGTAAATACTTTTATGAATGAGTTTTGGAAAGTTTTCATTGTGAATTGTTATTATCTAAATTGTGATAGTGTGTATTGTTGCCTGCCTAAATTCAGCTGTATTGTTGTCAATCTAAATTAATTTAGCTAGAATGGAAGACATGCAGAATCCCTAGAAGAGACAGAATTATGTTATGATGTTTAGATAATGATATTTTAATTCACAGTGTATTAAGTGTATCTACAGCCTCTGAAAAATGTGTCTAATCCTTTTAGTACAATCCTCATTAATTACTCTTAATGGTATTTATAGGCATCAAAACGAGAAAATTTGATGTAGATTATTATATTTTCCTCTGATGGAGAGATGCAAGCAGCATTTTCAACATGAGAGCCAGCTCTACTGAAATCAGTGGAGCCAGGTCGATATACCACTACAGTGATCTAGCCCTGGGTTTCGCCCCAGTTTTTGTATGTCTTGTAAGGCTGATATTTCTACTTGTGCAACACAAGACCACATGGTGTTTGAATGGAGTTGCACTCTGGAGTTCACTCCAGTTACTCTGAGTGAAAGATGCAAGTGTTGGTAAACCTTGCTGTATTTGCATGGGAGAACTTAGAGAATCTTGCTCTTCTTTAAAGAAAAAAAAAAAAAAGAGGTTTGGCTGATTCATGATTGTAAGGGAAAATATCAAAACATGACCAAAAGTGTTTAAATAAAATCACTGAAACAAAAGATAAATACAAAGATGAATTCAAATACATTGAACCTCTTTTATACTTTCATGAATCTAAGGCAGTTGGGTTTTTCTTTGAAAGGCCTCATTCATGATTTCTGAGCAGTTAAAATTCTCAGTTGGGACCAATTCTGTATGGAGGCAGCTGAGTTTCACTGGTTGGTTTATTGAATTTAATGGGTTTGCCTGCAGGGCTGTGGCATGAAGAATCATCGACTTGTGAATGGTGTATTACTGGAAATCTCAGTGGGTTGTTTTTTAACTTGTCCCCATCAACAGAACTACCATTACAATTGACCTAGCTGCCCCTACAGAGAGTTATCATGTATGTAGGGAATTACCTAGTTACTGTCCTGCAGAGGTGATTCCTGTAAAGTCCTGACTGAGGGCAATAAAGACTAAAATGTAGCAGCTCCTATGTCTTCTTCCCTCTTCTTCTCTCTTTTACAATGCTTTACAACTTTCATCTTTATTGCCATTAGGTAAGAAACTTCCACAAATACTAGAGCCCATATATTTGAATTGTTTGTGTGTATGTATTCCTAATTTCCAAAAAATCGCTGTCCAACAACTGTCGACCAAAGTGACATAATTTCTGTCTCAAAGTCCATCTGCACATCAAGACTGCTGTGTCATATAGCATCATTGTGCTAACTTGATTCTAGCTGGCACAGAGACAGTAGCAGTAGAGACGCAACCAAGGGGAGTGTCCCCAAGCCCAAGGGTGTGAGGGTCCTGTTGTCACAGCAGGCACCATCAGCAGAGCACACGCCATCACTGCTGCTGTTACCTTAAGCTACTCAGAAGAGGCAAGCTACCGCATTCTCAGCCCCACCTTCGTTTTGAAGTGTAGCTATATCCTCAGTCTGGTTTCCAGTCGACTGATATTTTCATGATAAAATACCTGGCACCCACCCAGGTGACAGAGTCTCAGTGACCGGCCAGAGAGTGAACTACCCTGAGACCCCCGCAGCTCAGGCTGGGTTTTGGTAACCCAGTCTGCACTAAATTACTATGAAGAATTGGAAGGTGGGGGACAAATAAGTAAAACCAGCAACAATAACACAGAAAATGTAGATTCTTAGTAACACAAAGCAATGTTTTGACTGACTTATTATAATACTTACACTAGATAATAAATCTTTCAAAAAGAAGGCACAGATAAATGTAGTAAGTTCACTTTACAAGCTGTAACTGTTTAAAGTAGGTACCTCATCCATTAGTTTAAAAGGTACTATCAGCTTGACCACAAATGGATTTTTAAAGTCAGAAGTCATTTCATGGCTTGCATCTGCTCTTGAGTACCACTGCCAAGGCCTGTGATTTTACAGTCAGATATTTCTATTTATAGAAACTCTTTTCTCTCTCTGTCACTCTGCGAAAGACTCACAGAAACAAGAGCTAACTAAATAACTACGAACTACAAAACAAACAGATTATGCATGCTATAAAATGCAGAGTAAAAAAAAATTTTTTTACATTTCAATTAGTTTCTTTTAGTTGCACAAACAAAAACAAATAGACAAAGTATATTATCTTATTCACATGAGATGTCTCTGCAAACTCTTTGGCTATGTAGTACAATGTCTGCAAGCTTCTGTAGAGGACAAAGACTGATGCAACACCATATTATTTTTAAGAAAGCATGTATCCTGGAAGGTCTTTCAATCTGACGGCTTGGTTGTGCGGTTAGTCATGCAAGCAATTCCATTTTACCCTGGCCAACACCAGCATTTCCAAGAGAAAAATACCACAATATATAATTTTTCTTAGTAAAGGCTTGGATGCATCTTTACTTGGTGATTTTCATTACGCATTTTTAAAAAAACGTTTTTAATTTCCCCTACAGAAATACTAAGCAGATTGGAGTCCTTGCAGAAGCCAACATCATTCCTGACCGTAGCCATTTTGTGATGATTTCAGCATGTGCCTGAAACCCCCATATGCCTGAAAGGTGAGTTAGGAGAGATCTTTTACAGCTCTGTAAGTATATTCTGCATTAATGATTTTGTTGCCAAGCAACAGCAAAGCAGCACAAAGGGGACCGAAGCTCACCATTGCTAATCTGACTCTGCATGAGGGAGGAAGGAGGAAGGCCCGTCCCAATTGCATCGCTGAGATTGCTCTGTGAATGGAGAGACTGGTTGGATGCACTCTGAGTCATTCCTCCTGGGCCCAAGTTTATGTTTTGCGTCGGTGGCTGCAAATAACAAGGAGGAGAAGCAAATTTTTTGTTAGGTTTTAATTACAAAAATAATAACCCCCGAATTAGCCTGTGTGACTAAAAACTGCCTCAACTCAGTATGTGCTTCCTTCACTTTTTGGGCTTGCTTGCATAAACCTTTCTTTGTTTGACTATTACGTGTGAATGACATTCAGCACGATACAGAGAAGCCGGCAGGCAGCACAGTGAAGATCTTAAAACTGTGCTTGTAATAGTGCCTGGCTTCTCTGCTCATTCTTCTGTACTTACATGAATTTCATTTTGTGCTGGTCAGAACATAACTGCTGAGGGGACATGCATTAGCAAAGATGACACAGAAGTGTGTTGACAAATTGACCTTTGTCAAGCATGAAGCTATGCTGTGTTTTGTGTTACGTGTCATACCGCCAAAATCAATCCATTTAGCAAGAATAACACAATGTTTACAGACAAACCAATGCCCAAATACTGAATGAGATTTTTGACATAAAAGTTGCATTTTTCCCCTGACTAAAGAATACAGTAAAAACAGGTAAAAAAATAATGAATCTGGAACAAATGAAGGCTGTTCAGATCTGCACCACTGCACCATTTACAGTATATAGACCTTGAGCTACGGAGACAAGAGATTAACACAAATGTCCCAAAGAATGTGTTTTAAAACTCAGTAAAAGTAGCTTTTGATTTGTTTAGTGGTCTACTTGACACCTTCAAAACTTTTAGCTGGAAAAAATGATTTATTGACGGTGATCAGTAGCAGAATCAAAGAACATTTTCCTCTGGCATAGTAAATGTATCTGATGGTAGTGCTGGTACTTACAGCAGGAAGCAAGGACTGCATATTCTGGTTAGAATCTGCTATTGTTGCCAAGTAAACCAGGTTTCTGTGCAAGATTTGTTGGTATCTACAGAATAAGGAGCAAAGCTTATTTGGAAAGGGTTAATAATACAGAAAATTCCAAACCTTTCTCTTTTTTTCTTTTTTGCTCTTTACAAATGATTAGTTCAATTACATTAGCCCACTTTTCCTCTGTCATAATAAATAGCAATAGTAATGACCTATATCTGTGCTGTCATGCTTTTCATCAAGGATCAGTGTTTTCAACACCTCTTTTACAAATGGGTAAGCTCAGGGGAAGGGAGAGGTAAAATACACTCTCCTTTGAAAACACTTCGAGTGAACTGTGAAGCTGGGACCTCAGCCTTTGAGTACTGACACCCGGTGAGCTGCTCTAACAATTAGCCACTTTTGCTTCCTCTGTTTAACAAGGATCCTAGTAGTAATGAAATTCCAGAACTCCAAAAACCAAAACCTGTTTGCCCTGCCAGCAAGCTGACAAGAACAAGATTTTTTTCAAGAGTGCTCTAACTGGAGTGTTTACTCAAGTAAGCACCACCAGAACCATTTACGCTTCTTTACAGTTCTTGATGAACTGGAAAAGCTCATAATAAAGAACAGCAGGGCATCCAAAAGCAAACTAACAGCTGTGCCACTGAGCGAAGTGAAGAGTCAAACTTTTGGAAACAGGGAGGGTTCCAAGAAAGCAAGAGAAAATGCTTTTTTAGCATCAGTTTTCTTCTGATAAGGGGAAAATGGGTGGGAAGTGGGAAAAGTGGCCAAAAAATGACTTCTTTAGCAAAGCTATCATTTTTAGACAATTTTTTTGAAAGCACAGCTTTCTGCGTTTGGCCCCATAACTTGACCTTTCATGAGGCACGCTGGCTCCTCTTCCTGACAGACTTAACCCACGCACTTTATAAAAGCATTTTGCTTTCAAGATTAGGAATAGTAAGCAGTGACACAAACTGATGTGTCTACATGCATATTGTTTTAGCCATAGATAACCGCACTGCCGATCCTTAACATTTAAATACTTTCTGATGAAAATGTGTTATTAACTTTGTACCTGATTCTACTTGTATTTAATGAATTTGCATAGATAGAACAAGTGGTCCATTAACCATAATTGTTTATAATTATTGTAATAAATGATCTCTTAGAAATATTGTAAATACTCAAATACTTTGGAAAAAAACCTCTGTTCCAAGAAAAATACATATTTCTTAATACAAGTGAATCTAAAAAAAAATAGTCCAAGTATTTTCTCAGTGATCAGTGAGATTACTATGTTCATAGTACTATTCTTGAGAAAAAGTACACCAAAAATTTCTAGCATACTCCAAAACTCATAATACTCACTGAGTACATTCTGCAGTTTTCCCCTTGCTCTGATAATCCATAATACATTGTATTAGGTGGTGATTTTCATCTAGCATCTGCATAAAAGAAATACGATCAAAACATGTTACTATAAGAATCGTTTTAAAGTCCTCTGTTTTTGTGATACTCCACATTCACCCTTCTTGGCAGGGGATGGTGTTTTGGGCAGTTTTGTTGCCTTGGGATATTACAAAGTACCTACACATGACTTTATGGAGACACAAGACTGTGCTTCTCAAATCATTCATCAACAGTTACCTTTAAAGGAGTTAGTTGAAATACCCAACACAGAAGAATTAATGGACTTACCATTTTTGCTCCTTAAATGTTGGATAGATTTTTATGCTAAAGAATGAAAACACTTTCTCTATGAAATTCCTCTGCCTCGTTCTAAATTATAACCCAACCCCTTCCAAAACTTCAGATTTTACTGACATGCCTACTTTCAAATAAGTAATATACCTTCAAACAATTTAAACCTACTAGTTTTCCTGCACAGGACTAGCGTGTGCAGACTACTGAACTTGATGAAGTATAAAATTTGCATTACTGGATCTGCTGAAACCACATTTAAGAGAATTACACCCCAACATGTCCTTTGGGGTAGTTCAGCTCTAATACAGGGAGGACTTAAAATGAAAACACAGAGTAATTATATACCAGTTAATTTATGTGTATCACTGGCTGCTAGCTTAGCTTCATTCAGTAAATTCTACTGACTGACTTGTTCCAAGAAAATTGGGGCTGCTGGACAAAATGACAACTGACCCTCATTTAATGAATAATTTAATGAACTTATAATACAATTAAAAGCTTCAAATATCCTTTGATGTGTTTTAAGATTTCAAATGTAATAGTTTGTCTCTTTCTGCCAGCTTTCTTGTGAATGTGGCAAGCTTTATGCGGGTGAATGAATGGAAAAATAACAACAGGATTCTGAAATTTAGATTTGTCTGGCAAAAACTCAGTACATAATACAATTTGTAGGTACCACTGCTACTAAGTGCTTGCAAGATTTGAGAAGAACTCACGAGAAAAGAACAACGTGTTTTCCTACGAGTTAAATGTGAATTAATCCATGTGGCTATGTGTTCTGATCAGAACAAATTCTTGACCCATTCAGATGCAAGGGGCTAGATTATAGGAAAACGAGAAGAGTCTTTTTGATGCAATCTAACTAGTCACTCCCTTAGAGAACTCAGCTTGTCCTGCTTCTTGCCTGTAATTTGCCGGTTGGTCTTAACTTTGCTGGACACCCTTGTCCATCCCAGGCTCTGACTGCTGGCGCTTGCAGTGATCCCCTGGGGCTCCGGTCAGCGGAGCAGAGGCGTTGCGGTGGCCTGCCACGGCGGGTCGGCAGGCTGCTGGCTCGAGTGCGGACGGGGAACGTCAGAACTGTGTCAGTCAAGAATCCATGTTCCTCCTGCATGCGTGCCTGTGCTCACATGGCAACCCGGGTGCAGCGTATAATTTTAAGAGAAAATACTCCTGCCTGATTCACAGCGCAGCGCTTTGCTTCATGCTCTCTACTCACTGTTGTACTGAATCTTCACCTGTGTCAGTGGAAATTCTGCATACAGAATTAGCAAAGAATACAAACCTGTCCCTTTCAGTTTCCACAACAGGTACAACTGACAACATTTTCACATTCGGTTAAGATACGTATTCAACAGCAAGAGTCCAAGCAATATTGCAGATATCTTCTTCACCAGAAAAGGGATACGCTCTGGCAATTAGCTGAAGAACATTTTGCTTACTGAAAAAGGAATCAGGAATAGCTCTTTTCCTAACTTCCTAATGAGGAAAAAAGAACCGAGTTCTGATCTCCATTACACAGAAGAAACTGAAGTTTACTGCCCTGCAAATGCTATTTGGTGAATTATTTTAAAGCACCACCATCACTGCTCTATTGCCAAAAACCCTAATTTCCTCCTTCTACTTTAGGAATAGCTGGTACTGGAACAAAAACAGCTTTGAAAGACTATCAAAAGTGACTTAATAAATAAAAATAAGCTGCTTATATATTACAAATACAAATAAGAATAATCTTGTTTTCCAATGAAAATGGTATGTGTTCTAAAAAGCTGACTTTAATGAGGATTTTTTGAGTTCCTAGCCCGGCATCTGCTCCTTCTCTCACTGCCCCATTTCTATACTTGACTATAAAGCCCATCCAGTTACTGTGCCTGCAAGTCTTTCCCTCAGCATCACTGCTTATCAAAAAGAAAATCACTGCCAACAGCCCAATGTTGAGGCACAGCCCTGAAGTAACACGCCAGCAAATGTACCCGAGATGGGAAATGTTTTTACACGTTATTGGTAAAGAAATAACAATTTGAATCTTCCATAAAATTTATGAATATGCAAAAAGAAAAGGCTTGAAAATCAAACCGAAGATACCTTGGCTACCCTTTGTCTATGGATACAGTCATGGTTTTAAGTACAAACTACCCGAATTAGGAAATTATGTCTTAACCCCGACCAATCTGGAGGGTTGAGAAAAGCATACCCACTGAGTCTGAAATATTTTAGTATTTAATCACTTCACAATACCACATGTGCTGCAAGAGCTATACAAAATGGGATTAGTTTCCAAATACTCTCCTGAGATTCAAGTCACCTCTTTAGTCTCCCGTGTAGCAGTTTGTTCTGCCTTAACCTCTGTTCCGTCACAGTCTTCCACTGAGGGTTTTTTCCCTAGAACTCATAAATTGGCACCAGATAATGGTTTGGCTGCAAACCCCACTGCTGATCGGTTACTTGGTGCATCAGCAATGGCACGTCTTACTTGGTCACTGTTTGCGAGTGGATCATGTAGAACATGGACACCTCGCTCCCACTGCGCCACGCGACTCCGCGTAAACAAAATACCTATGCGGTGGGGAACAGGCAAAAATTACAAAAATATGGTAGAAGGACAAATGAGAAATAGCGGTCAAAGTAAAACCACGCATGTTCTTTATTGACATTTCCAGCCTCGTCCTTACTGACCATTACCTTCTGCAGGAGGAAGGGGTGTCGGGCATGTGTGCACAGTCCCTGCTGGCA